ATTATTACTATTATTGTTATTATTATTAACTATTTTTATTTTATTATATTATATCTTCATTGTAAGTAAATTTGAAAATATTCGTACTACAAAGTTATTGAATTGATCAAAACATTTTTACTCCAGAAATTAATTTCAATCAATCAATTATGGCGCACTTTCCCAAATTCGAAGATAATAAGATTTTATGTGAGTCGGCATGTATTTTATCGATACTGTTTCCTGTTTGTATATTATACAACTCATACTTTATATGTATACATGCAATTTAATTCAGCAAAATTTCGCACTCCTGAAAGTCCGACTTTTGATACACTGCTACAAATAGTGTGCTCCGAGCTTACCGTTCGTCCGTCATAAAATATCACGCATTTATCCCTGTGTACTGAAATAGATTCCTACAAAGTAAGCCGTGTGTTCTAATTTAACACGCACTGTAATTTAACGCTCACTTTAATTTAACACTCAGTTTAATTTAACACGCATATGATGGCACTGGGCTATATAAATGATTCAATCCTCTTCATCTGCCCATTTGCGTCATAATCCAAGTAATTCACAGAATTTGTCGATATAATACTAGCGTCCGCTATGATTCGGCCTCAAATATATGCAGGTAAATAAAGCGTGCTCCGTGCCGTTGCGCTGACTTGTACTTCAAAATGTACTCACAATTTACGCATGAATAATTCAAGTAATCAAAATGGACTTTTACTGCTCTGAATTTTCTACCCTATGCGTTCATTAATTCTGTTCAATTAAATTTAAGGCTCCTGCAACTGGTGATTCGCAGGCTGAAGCCGTCATAACGATCACTTAAGCCAAGAGAGGCTGCGAGCGGGAGAGAAATTTGAGTTATTCATGATTGTCATTAGTGATATTCATAGATTTTTCTGCTACAAAAAATATGCTTCCTGGGAACACTTGAAGCTTAAAGAAAAGCATCGCCTTCATACATGTTGATTTTCCTTACTCTGCATTTTTTCTGTCCGCTAACTTCAAAGACTTTTGTTTTATAATCTAGACATAAAATGTTCATCTTTAAGATACGCATATAGGTACATTAAATTTGACAAACGTGATGTTTTTTTCTCCCAAGGAATTGGTTGTGCATATTAATTATTGTGCATATTAATCGACAAAGACATTGCCAGGCTTTTCTTTCTTTCTTCCAATCATCCAACAACTCGTGACCGAAATTTCACATGGAGTAGCGATATCAGTGAAAATTTAATGCCCGTAATGATTTCGTTTGACTTACAATCATTCACCCCAGTTTTTTCATAAAATAACTATGCAAAATGCCTTGTGTTCTAAATTCAACTTTGCTCATCACAAAACAGAATGTTGTTATTTTTCGTTCTCGTTAAGTTATCTCAAATGTCTCATTAGCAAGCATTTTTACTCTGCATGTGAACACTTGTTCCAGAGTCTGGCATCATGAAACTCTTACTAACTGACGTTTCATTCTCTCAAAAGTGAAGAAGTTAAATGCCACGAGAATTGATTTTCTGTCTGTGTTGAGGCATTTTTCTTGGCCTTACGTAAACTGCTTACGTAAGGCGTCGATCAGAAAACGAATACTCGCCACAGTGTGCAGGGTAGCTGGTAGCCTCCATCAATAACAGGCGATGTTGCGTCCAGCGACAACTTGTGCTGCTCGTCTTTGTTTTTCATCAGCCACTGCACATTTTTTTGCCCTCGCGCTGGCGTATTTTAAAAAATGCTTTGCGTTTCTGGCCGCAGGTAAAGTCAAGTTTAGCGCTAGTTGCAAAAAAAAATCTTACTGGGCCGAAAATTCAAATTCAAATTAATCAAAACTAGACTCAATCAACACAATCATACTTGAATTTTTTTTAAGTTTTGACATTTCCTAATCACGATTCTTTGCAGAATTTTTAAATTTCCCGAAATTTTTAGTGAGTAAATCGTAACGAATTCGGACAAATTAACTATATTGGTTTTCTGCAACTCTTATTCGTACATTTTTGCAAAAAATTTTCTCAGAAATGTAAAAACTTCAATTCTATTAACTAGCAACAATCCAAATTTTATTAAATTACTACCATCGCAAATTTCTCCCACATACTTTTTCTACTTTGCTTTGATATTAATAATTTCAAATAATAATTTTCTGATAATAATTTCATCAGAAAATTTTCCCATCTTCGAAGAAGTGATTTTTTTTCATACAATGAAACATAATCAGTTTACTCTTTCGACCATATATAGTTATTTTGCCCGTTGTAACAAAACACACTTTTATTGCATCTAAAAAATGATATATTTTAGAGCAATCAACGCCGTTGAAAAATTAATATTTGAAGGGAAGTCTGTGTTGAGATACACTGTAAACGCTCGACATTATTCACTATCTTTGCTACACTTCATTCGTAATTATGACGCATGAGCAGCCGTTACGGATCGCAACTTCAGTAATACAGCAACACAATGGGAATTTTCATTTCTGAGAAATTTGTAGAAATATAATTTGAAAACAATTGGCCATCACAATTCAACACTCGATTTCGCTATCAAATCTGAAGAAATAATTGTATATAATTTTTATTTGGAAGTTAATAACTTTATACGCAATTATTCAAGCCTTTTCATTTAATATCTATTAACACTTTCGATTTTCAATTAGCTTGGTTCTTTGCTTATGTTTTTCTTCCCGTTGCGTCCGACTGTGGACCAATAAATTAGTTAATGGCTGACTGTTCACCACAAAAGAACAAAAAAGCGTCGATAGCAGTGAAGCGAAGTCATGATTTACGTTCGAGGGTCTCGGAAATATTCTCTACGTAAAAATTATTACAAAAATAGACTCCGCTCGATTGCTCCACTAAATGAGAGCCTTTGTATTCCGATGATACTTTCTGAGTTTGCCCGACCTCGACCATGGTTTTCATTTCAACTGATTGACTTCCAATGTACCATAGGAGATATCAATTGGCTTGCGGGTTCAGTCAGGCGCATGTATCAATTTTCAAACTAAAGATATTCTAGACCTGGCAGTTATTTTTAGCTTATTTTCTCATTTATGGAAAAAGGCGCTATTGTGCTCTTCATGTCCGACTGTCTGTCCGTCAGTGACTTTTTCGTCGACGAGAAAATGCGCTCTCTGTCACTCACTGCAGTGAGTACTGACCTAATTTTTTAATGATTCCAGTAAGTGGCATAATGTATTTGTATTACCTAATGGCAACTATAATAGGTAGCAGCAAGCTATCATCACCTTTACAATAATAAATGCTATACATGCGCTAAACATTTATCGCTGAAAAATTAATATTTACCAAAAAATGAGTGATTTTTTAACTAAAAAGTTTGTACTTTCGAAATAATCTATGCAAGCACTGTTCAGCAGTTCTGAGTTTATAGGCTTCTCTAAAGTTTGGAATACATTTGTAGGAGAATTCAGTAGACCTCAATTATTTTTTACACGAAAGCAATTCTTTACGGAATCTAATTTTACGAATTATTTTATTTCCTTAAAGACGCTCCTTTTCTAGTAATTGGAACGCTTCTAAATAATTCATTATTAAAGCCAATGAAAAATAGTATAAAGAAATTAATTCGTGAAGGATGCGAATTGAGTTATCTTTTGGCCCAGCCAACTGGCTTTAAAAAAATTACTTTAGACTAATGACCGAAAATTAATTTAAAAATTGTTGGCTCGATAGACTGCATTTAATTTAATCTTGATTGGCTCGCGATGGGCGGTAATGAAGCCACTGAGAAAAACTTCAGAGGGACTACGATGAAATTCATTCGTTCATATTAATTATGACACAAAAATGAAAAACAGTTAGTGGAATTTCTGATCTGTAAACTTCTAATTTTGATCGATGATGATGATATCTGTCTTCATGTAGACAAAATTTAACAAAATATATCGAAATTTATAAATCGGTCCCTTTAACTATCGGCTTCTCAAAATTTTACAATCATTTCTGAAAGAAACTAAAATAAGCATCGGTTGATTGAAAATATATTCTCATTTAAAAATCTGATTTTAATAAATTATTTTAACTAAGTTTTATTCATTTTAACTCTTCTGTATCAGGGCCATAGAGCATCAGAGGTGTTTAATAATAAATAGATTAATAATAAAATAAATAATAATATAAAATAAATAAACAATAATAATGATTAAAAATAGATTAAAGGCGCGTACTAGACAAGTGATAACCGTGATACTTTTACATGTACAACAATGTTTGCTGAGCTCAGCCCTACAAAGAACCTGAAGCTCTTTAATGGTTCTCGATTTACCTCTCTTTCTTTGTGCCCAGAAACTATTACGCATTTATGGTTGCGCCTTCACCATCCTAGCCATAAACTTTCGGGGCCTGGAGGCGAGGCAGTCTGGTTTAGACATAATTTCGTTAAGGAAATTCACTTCCACACGTAATTTCAAACTCATGCGTCTGCCGGGCCATTTTTGTAAAAAAATTCTCTCGCCAAAATTTTTTTCGTTAGCTTATGTTGGAATAGAATGTAAATTTATACTTTATTGTCACATCTACATAGGCACTGTAAAATAGTCGTTCATTTCTAAAAAGGGAAATGCGTACCGCAGGATTGTAAATTTAATGTTTCCTATCTTTCTTGTTCGTCTCAGACTGTTTTAGCCTAAAATTTATTAGAGTTCTTATTGGTTGTTATTTGTTTCTTGCTATACTCTGGTGTTTAGCAGAATACATATATAGCGCAGATTTGCAGCCAAGTTCACAAAAAAAATTTTACCTTTACTTTCTGAGACTGAAATCAATTTAGGTATTACTCTGCTTTTCTCTCATTACCCTTCTATTTCAGGACATCCAAAGACTCTTTAATAATATCAGCATGTTTCTCTGACACGAAAAATCCTGAAGAAGTTTATCAAGTGGCAAGTGCTGTGATGCCAAAATTACTTGCTTAATTCCATCTGTAATCATTAATATCAGCGTAAGGACATACACAAATAACTTGCATTTTTCAGCTATAGATGCAAAGATGGATGAAATGATGACTCCATTGATACCTTATCACAGTGCACGCAACGACACCTACTCAACTTCCGCGAATCAATACACAGCCATAAATTTGGACCATGAGACCGGTAATGGCGCGGAGTTCTTGCCAACTTCCATCCCCAACAACTCTGTCGAGTTTCATCATTTCAACTTCCCATTGTCCGAAGTTTACAACATTGTCAAAGAAAACAACAAGGAATCCTACTTAGGCCCGACCGCAAAGGTGATAATAATGGTTGCCTACATCACTCTCATCGTGCTCGGGACAGCAGGCAATATTTTGGTGGGACTTGTGATTGCTCGGAAGCACGAAATGAGGACTTCAGGTAACCTGTACGTCATCAATCTCACCATCTCTGACATAACGCTTTGTCTCATCTGCATGCCCTTTACTCTAGCAAGCCTTATGAAGAAAAACTGGGAGCTCGGCAGCTTCATATGCAAACTGGTGCCCGTTTTGCAGTGCACCAACATTCTGGTCAGCACTGCCACCATCGCTGCCATTGCCGCCGACCGTTACATGACCATAGTCAGAATTGGGAGTCGACCGCGACCACAATGCTACAACCAAGCGTCCGTGCTAGGCATTTGGATCGTGTCACTAATATTTCCACTGCCTCTGTTCAGTTCTTATTACTTAGAGACAGTGAAAGTCAAAGATTTCTTATTGTATGACAGATGCGTTGAGCTGTGGTCGTCGCGATCTGTGCAACTGGCTTGGTTGATCACGTTATTTTTGATACAGTACATCATCCCAATCCTAGTGCTGGTTTCTGTCCACATCAACATAAAGAACTTTCTCAATAAACACCAAATGCACAATCTTAGTGCCGCTAGAAAGACGCAGGAGCTAGACAGAAATCGACGCACTACTATCCTACTTACTACCATTGCCTGCACCTTTGCAGTCAGTTGGTTGCCCTGGCATGTAGTCAACCTGCTAGCCGACTTCAACTACTTCCACAGCCCCGAGTATTTCTACGCGATTTTTGGGGCGTGCCACATCCTGGCCATGAGCACAGCCTGCAGTAACCCCGTACTTTACGGCTGGCTCAACACCAACCTCAAGAAAGAGATACTCTGCTTCCTCGCCACGCTCTTCAAGACGGTCAGTTTCAAGGCATATGAGTTATTAAAAGCAGAAATCTCACTAAAGAAAAATTAAATTAGCTTTCAAAGCTTCACAAGTTCAAGTGTGCCCTCTTAACCCTCTACCGCCATATGTCACTCTCCAGGAATATAAATTTCAAATTAAATTATACGTAAACTATTGAGTGTAACAACCCGAGGAAGTTTATATGAAACAGAAACATTTTAAAGTTGTCGCACGTGGCGGCAACCATCAGTGCAAGTCGTTTTGCGCTCACTAGAACGTATCCTTTTTGAGAAGAAGGCTTGTGAGAATATTGCTTCGGTTCTTGTGTCAGGCGGTAGATGGTTAAATTAGAATTCTATGTAAAGATACTTAGCAAAAGGATCGAACTCATATATTTTAGGGAGAATCTCCTCGTGCGTCAAATTCATAACCAGTAAATAGTACGTGTCAGTGCTCTAATAATCTCTTAATAGCTTCATGTTAAGTCAAGTTTTTTTAAACTTATCTGAGTCTCATAGTAAATATTAATTTTCACAAGCAAGTTTTTCAGTAAACTTGTCACATATTTAGAGTTTTAAAGCTGTTTGCGTGTATTTTTTATATTTATTTTAGCCAGCAGTGCAAGCAAAACGCTTGACAGAACCAAGGTGAGTAACGTTCTGTTTGTTGATGCAAACATCTTACGTGTCATTAAGAGTTATATACAGACGAAAATTGGACAAAAATTGGTAGGTTTCTGTTATAAAGTCATCAACATGTTAATTAGGATTATATAAACATTTATTTATAATTAAATGATTATGTGCAAAACTATCAATGAAGTTTCACACATAAACAAATTTACCAAAACTTGTACATTTCTCTGCATTTCCAGAGAGGCGCGAGCTCGCACAGCCAAAGGAACATGTCGCTAAACACAACTCGTCTCTCAAGCTATCCATCGCCTTGCGTGTCGTCGGTGCCAAAACGGCATCGTCAGAGCGCTCCTTCAGAATCTCAAAACGATGGACCAATTTTTAGCCTGGACAATGTGACGCTTTCACCTAAATGTTCTCCCGAGCAATCTCCGATGTCTGATGTTATTGTTAAAGAGCAAAAGACAAATGTCTCTTCAAAGGCCGTAAAGTTGAAGGCATTGTCTCATGTGGACGACAATAACTCAAAGAGTGTGACAAAATCGCCTAGATTTGATTCCTTGTGTAGCCAACTGGAAGCCAAAAAGAACATGCTAGACTCGGAGCTTATAATATAAGTGCAAGATCTCGCACTGGAAACCGACTTGAACAAAATCAATGAGTTGCTGACTTAGATCGATATGTGAAAGAGACAAATAATATATTTTTCGAATAGTCTTACCATTGAATGTGTGCGTCAAATAGAGCAAGAAATTTTGCATTTACACCCTTTTTATATCGTCTGCGTTAACTTGTGATTTGGTATCAATTCAAATTAACTGTGTTAGGGTTTTATAGAACAGATTTTAATTCGTCAAGTATTTTTATATTCGACAAGTCATTTTAGGTTTAGAGAAATCTGTTTGTTACGTTCACGGGTTAGGAATAGCAGGCTTGTCATTGTTGTGCGGAACCGTGAAGGAGGTGGGTGTCGTGTGTGATCAGGGTAGCTAAGGATCTGTAAAATCTTAATCTGTAAACTATGGTGGAAATATATTCTGTGTTTGTCTAAAATTAGGATATTCAATTTTGTATTTATGTATTTATTTGTATTTATTCATGAGTCCATTAGGTTGCACTGGTTGACATGTTATTGATGTATTTTCAGGGAAGCCTCGAGACTTGAGAATTACACCTTGTAACTAAGAACTCTCGTATGACTTGAGCCCTGGGAGAAGGGGACAAAGGGGGTTGAAGGACGACACGAGCCATAAATGAGCAAGTGTTTGGGCCTAGCTGGCATAAGGATTGAGCCCACAACAACTGGACAACCTTTTTTACTAGAATTCTAATAGACCGATAATTAATTTAAGAAAAAACTATAAATTATGAATGAAAATAACCATGCTGTAGAAAAAATCGTGTTTTTGAATAGCAAAGTAACGTTTTTTGGGAAAATCTGCTGTCATTATATTCTTAGACTGTTTTGATGAATAAACTTTACGAGTTCACTGGACATTTTTAATAAAATACGCTAAAGTACATAGTCACAAAGTATAATTTGAAAACTTTCATCATTTTTTACGGGTATTCGACAAATGATCATCCGTAATTTAAACGAGAAATTGAACTAAATAAATCAAATGAGATTTGAAAAATTTTCTTCAATGTCATAGGCGATGAAACGTTAGTAATCAGAAATAGCCACTGGAAAATTACAGCTAAAGGTTTCTATATAGAGTTGTGCACATTAGATGTATATAGTTATAAATAGTTATAATTAAGTTAAATTTAGCAGGTAATTACCAACTAAGTTAAAACGAAACAGTTTCCTGGTCTCCCGAAACTCTCTCGCTAAGCCAGACTTTTGTGAGTCTATACTTCAGAAACTATTGCGCAAAGATGGAGGAGTCTAAAAAGTTATGTATTAAAATTTTGCCCGTTATGCAGTTCTCAGCTCAGAAAACATATGTTAACCTATTTTTTTGTAGAAACAATGAGTTTTTTACTGTTGTTAACGTAACAGTAAAGTCTGGAAATTAGTTACAATTTAATTTATAATATTTGCTTAATAATAGGAAAATATAAAGAATATTTCTGAGTTTACCAATAACGATACTTCAGTTCGTTTGAACTAATCAGTGATTATTTCAACCTCGTGAGGTATTTCTTGTGCCGCTGATTTTAATCTCGCGGCTGTAATATCGTTTCTCATCTCTCGTGGAGGTATATCACCTAAATTACACAACATATCAAATATATTGTCAGTGTTTCTCTGTTTCCCAAATTCTTATCTAGCAGATTTTCTATCTTTGTTCATTATAACTTCAGCACACAACTACATAACATTACTAACATGAGACAAAAATACTAAATGTTCCACGCAGCCTTAACAACCATCATTTACGTAGCTTGGGAAAAGTTTTATGCCTTGGTTACCTTCATTATAAGTAAGAATGTTCGCTGATATTAACGTTCAATATAGAGTTAATAAATATTACGCTCTTGCACATAATATATACTGTCGGTTGCAAGTGACAAGAGGTTATAAAGCTGTAATGTCATGCTATCTGTATTTTTTTGATTGGATGAATTCGTTTTTCCAAAATATCTCGAAACTCATTAGTTGCCCAATTAATGCTCTCAAAGGGAATTTTCTACATTCAGTTTACAAAAAGTGTACAAAATTATAAAGCCTGTAGAAATGTTTATAGACATTATTCACTCTATTATTTATGCATATCAAATGTAATTAAAAAACACCTGAATACTTGTTTAACGAACCATGTATATATAAAAATTTGAACTTCCTTGTAACTAAAATATCATCCGATGATAGAGCTGGTATCTGAAACTTTTTTATTCAAATTGAAAAAAAACACCAATTACGATAGGATTTATAGAGGTCAAATTATCTTTTCTCATCTCCGATCATATTTCATCAATCTACCTACAAATTAGGCACCGAAGTGCATTGTGAAAATACATCGATTAGTAGCGTCTATATTATTCTTGAAATACGAGTTCAGTAATTGCAATCTGCTGAAGGTCTTTAGAGTATGCTTTTCCTCTTATACAAGCTGAAAGATTATCAATAATAAATATTAATGTCTTGATGTTCACAATGCACAAAAATTTAAAGTGCATTGTCTTTAAATTTGCGTTCCGTAACCTACTTGCATGTGTTCGAAATTATTAACGGCGAACTACGAGAAAGGATTAAGCGTGTAACTCTGATCTCTGAACATTTGTTTCATGTGTTGCGGCCCATCAAGAGTTTATTACTAGTCTTAGGTTTTACTTGCTGTAAGTTCGCTTTTACTGTGTGCTTGACGCTCCTGTAATATTGGCTCGTAAACCTGCTGTGGCAAATTATGTTTTTTCGTTCATTGGCAGAGTTGTCTAATTTGGGAACCTTTAACAAACGTTTATTGTTTTTGCAGATGTTTAGGTCGTTCTAAGAAACATATTTTTCTCGAGTTGTGAATTTTATTTTGAAATTTACAGTAATATTGTATTTTTCTCCTTGACCCTAACTTTTGGAGTTTGACATTTCTGAAGAATTTTCGGTATTATGTCCCTAACATTATTTATATTCGACACCTGTTTTTCTTCGGATGTCGAATCATGTAAGTTGTTCGTGACATGACGGTTATGCTTGCTGAATTAAAGGTCAAAAATTTTCAGTGTTTTTCTTTTTCAGAACTACGGATTTCGTGTCAAAATAATATTTCCAGACGTTCATTCGTGAACATTGATTTCCTTAATTATCACCACTTCTCAAATTTAAATCAAAGTTAATTAGAAGTAAATTTTATCTAATAAACTTTTAAACTTTTCTGATTTTTCTAGACGATATTTCACCAGTCTTCTATAAACACGAGTTGAACGTAATATCCAGTTTATTTACACGCTTCTAATAATCAATTTTAAATCAACTTTCCTTCAAGGGAAAGGGAATTCGCGATTGTTGACAACATTTTAAATTAGAACGTCGAACCAAGGTGAATTTTATCATACATTTTTATTTTTTATTTATAATCTTTTTAAGTTATTGTTTAACTTCAATAAAAAACCATAAGTGCCACAAAATAAATGACAACTCCTGATCGGCATTTGCGTCTAAGACTTATTTAATTTACCGAAATATAGTTACTTCATCGAATTTTTCAGCGTCCATCTGAGCAACATAAATCCTTAAAAGAAAATAAAATTGAAAAAATACTTTGTGAATGAGACTGAAACTCTCTCGCCTAAATAAATACGGGGTTGTTATTTGTGCTTAACTCTTTTTTATCGAAAAATTACCAGTGTATGGAAATCCACACTTGTAAATCTGGTATGGATTTAAATAGGTAAATCCTCTTAAATGAACTGTTTTAAAGTGCACATGGGACGTAACATGCTTTTACATTTGGGAAAAGTAGTTCTATGTCGCTATCCTCTTAAAAAATAGCTGTCATATTTTTTGGAGATGTGTAAAAAACTTAGGGAGTTTATTTTGGCACTGAAATTGACGCATTTGTTATCAAATTTTGGTGCTTCTATTTTTTAAGGGAAAGCGCTTTTAATGGGGAAAGATTAAAATGACCAGTTTTTGGAAATTATTTACTCGAGATATTTAATTTAGAGTAACTAGATAAAAATTGCATTCATTTTAGAACATTGTAACGGGCTGAAAGTCTACCATGTAGTTACTTTCTTTGAGGGGTATTTAATACCTACTACCAGTATTATTTGGCGAGTTACGGCTGGCAGCAAATATTTTTCGTTTCGCATTTTACTCTTCATTGATATGTTTTGATAATCCTCTATTTTAAAATATAAATATTTTTGTGACTTTGAAATGAAAAAAAAAACGAAAAATAAGCCAGAATTAGATACATTTTGAGCCCTTGAGCCCTGTCGTTAACTTTCTTCAGACACTCGTCTTTACAAATACAATGCCGGAAATGGCTATACGACCACCCTGTTCTCTCCAAATATTTTTTCTTGCACAAAAAATTATGGGATTCTAATTATATGAGGTTAAAATACGTTTAAAAACGGTTCCAACGCAATGCGAAAAAAAAATAATTTTCTCAAAATGTATGAGAAGAAATTATGAAAATTAGAAAAACCTAGGTGGAAATGGTTATAAGACCAGGATGGGTTTTTCTCCATTTTGGTATCTTTCTGTAATATTTTCACTTTAAAAAGTACAGCAATTTAATGAATATCTTGATTTCCGTCATTTAGGGCCTTCCTGGTGTACTTCTGGTGTAGTTCAGTGTCCTCACTTATATTTTTTCGAAGCAAAAAATATACCAAATGGGACAAGACTCACTGAGGCCGAGATGGCGCATATTTTCGGCTTTGTGAAATGCAGTGGAAGCCAACGGGACATCGCAATGGGAATAAAACGCTCAAAACCCATTGCACAATCATTTTTTGCTAATCCGGACGGCCACGGGTGAAAAAATCGCACTAGACCAAAACCAAAATTAACCAACAGGGATCTTAGGAGACTGTTTTCTGAGGCTTCCTAAACTTGCGCTACCTCTACTTCTATAAAATTGGCCACTGGAGTTGATGTGACAGCAGGACGCATCCGTTAGACATTGCATGACTCGAAGAAATTCAAATACATGACTAGGAAAAATGCCCCTGCATGTGCTCCAACAAAAGCATA